AGGTGAATAACAACAGGAAGGAAGCACAACCCAACAACACCTCCAACAAACACACACTCCACCAATAAAACACACACTCCACCAACAAACACACACTCCACCAAACACACAAACATCATCTGCGTCACTGTTTGTTTTGGGAAACTGTCGATCCCCTGACTTCCACTGCCTCACGTTGGTAACACTTCTTAATGTTACGGCGATCTATAGGAATCTGTGTCAAGATCCCAGGTATTACGTGACGATGTGGGAGAGATCAGATATGGGAGGGAGGGAGATAGGGAGACATGGGGAAAAGATAGAGATAGAGAGTAAAAGATATCGAGAGAGAGACAGATAAATAATAAAGATACTAAGAGAAAAAAGATATTGGGAGAGGAAAGAAAGATGATTTTGAGATTCAGCCAGACAGAAAGAGAGAGAGAGAGAGAGAGATAAATGAATGCAGAAAGAGAGAGAAAAACAAATTTACAACCGCAAAAAATATGAGAAAAATAAATTATCATCCCACAAGTTCTACAGTAAAGAGAACCTCGCGGCTCGTATGATACACAATATGTAAACAAACTATCAATATTTGCGTCAATCACTGGAATCTGTGTCGAAATCCTGGCATGGTTAGTATACTGTGATGGCAGACGACGCTGGAGAGCCTGTTGACTGCCGCATATATATATAGAACTTTCAGGTTAGCCCGACTGCATGCCGGGCAGACAAGCGCCAACGCCGGAAAGACGCTGCCGCCGACCCTCCGCACTAATGGCCCTCCACACGTGCAACATCTGTGGACGACTGTAGGTCCCGTATCGGTCTCTCTAGAGTCACCAATTGGTGACATCATAATAACTCATATCATTGTATCGCGCTGGATGTCGTCTACATTCTGCGTGACAGCCAAAGTAGTGATAGTAATGTAGTAGTAGTAGTATAGTAGTAGACAAATAAAATACTTGAGACGATAGAACGGCAAGTGGGAAGAAGAGACTCATACAAATAAAGATAAAATGGTAAAGAGGTTAAGCAAATCAAGAGAGACAGAAAGAGTAGAAATAGGACCTGCAAAAAGAGACATAAAGACTATTAGAGTGGCATAAGGACAGAAAAACAGCAAAGAGTAGAGAGAGAAGAGAATTGTGTGTAGTGGAAGAAAGAGAAAAATAGTGTGTATGCCCGTGTATAAGTAAGAGAAGAAAAGAGGTAGAAACAGAGAGACAATATCTATAATCAAATCACAAATTAAAACAATAGATTGGCGTCCTCTATAATCATGTCTCTTATTAATAAAAAAAAATCCTCTGTTCAGTCTCTTTTAGTACCTCGTAGGACTCTGAGCGAATGTTTTAGAGAGAAACGTATCCAAAACACTATGACATTGCTTGATGGAGTTAGGAAAGTTTAGTTCATAGCAATATTCCAGTGGATCTATTTTTACAGCTCGTGTTAATCTTTTAAACAGACGGTGTAGTATTTTATGGTAGATATCTCTCAATCCTATTTGCAGATTTATCTACGTCGAGTTTTTAAAGAGGGCGATGCGAACGCTCCATTTGGTGGATATAGACAAATGATCTATAGTTCGGGAATATATGAATACGTTCTCGTGGTTTAGAAATATAGATACGTTGTAGTTTAGAAATATATAACATCCCCGTAGCTTAGATATCCACTGGAGATCCACAGCGCGTTCATGAAGTTATGTATTGGGAGAGTCTGGTGTTTACTATCCCGGCGAACGTATGCGAGGTCGTAAAGCCCGGGCGAGAGTGGTGCGTCCAAGGACATATCCTAACTGGACCCAGACTCTCAAATATGTTAACTTTTAATTTTCTCTCCTAACTAAGATCATGAGAACGTAGCTAGATAAGGTAGAGTCTGAGTGTAATGTCAGTGTTATTTTGGATCTTATTTCCGTATATTAGATTAAATGGATCACTTAGAAGCGTTTGTTAATCTCCAATAATGAGGACAAATAAACGCACGAGGCTTTGAGAATGTAATGTAAGTTAGCGCTCGTGTGTGTCGCTGTGTATCGCGTAGTATTATCCACTTACGATAATATCCTACAATTTCAAGTGATGTAAAACTTGTTCATTATCGTAAAGTGACGAAGATTACTGAGGTGAACGATAACCAGTGATATCCTGCTGACACTGATGCATGGCGGTTCATACGTTAAACTTTCCAACCTTATCTTGAGATGTGAGAACGCTTCTAATTACATAACTTAAGTATAGACGTAATAATGTATTCTCAAAGATTCATGCGTTAAATTACTAAACTTAACTGAAGAAAAGAGGACATATCTAAATAGCTCACGTAACCTACAAGATTCGTAAAGTTTCATTGGTAAGAATTCATCTAATTACTCTAGTTCAGGTACAGCTCGTAGAGGTGTTATGAAATGGCCTCGAAATTAGAGACTCATCTATATGTGGAAGCATTTTCTTATCACCAGTTAGGGGAAAATATTTAACTCCAGAATCTTTGAGGATAATGAATTTGCTTATTGTGTATAATATTTTAACCCGTGACGTGTAAATGACAAATCCTTAAAGCAAGTTGTCCTAATCCTCGTAATACGATGACTTATGCCCTTGAGTAAGATAACATTGGACTTTGATGGTTAAGTCAGCGTAATCAAGGGGTTAAGTTATCCTTCTCAAGGGGTTAAGTCATCATTCCCAATGGGTTAAATCATCATACTCAAGGGGTCATCATGCTCTAGGGGTTAAGTGATCATAATCAAGTATAATATCCCGGGAGGAGATGTAATCCCTGGAGATAGAGGGCAAGTGTTATCATAAACCAGGGCAATATTTACCAACTAGTGTGTGTGCGTGTGTGTGTGTGTGTGTGTGTGCGTGTGTGTGTGCGTGTGTGTGTGTGTGTGCGTGTGTGTGCGTGTGCGTGAGTGTATACTAACTACCAAATGATTTGTATCCTTTTCAATCTCAGATATAAAAATGGGTAATTAAATGTACACACTTAACTTCTTATTTATTTGTTGGGGTCATATTTATTACATGAAGCTCGTGATCATATCCGGGTACTTTAAAGAGGCAGCTGTTAAGGGTCCAACCGCTCTCAGGGGCCTAACCGCTCTCAAGGGCCCAACTGCTCTCAGGGGCCCATTTGTGTCATGTCATGTTATCAAGTCCTCACGCGGCTTTCATACATCACCTGACAACGTGATTAGAGTCAACCTGTCGCTGCTACCGTACACACACACACACACACACACACACACACACACACAGACACACACACACACACTATTATCAGGGTTCAACAGAGGTCTTGACTGCTTTATACAGATAACTCACAAAGCTTTATGAAACAAACTAATTAACAATAAGTTCCAAATTTAATCACTCAAGAAATGTTTAATAAGATATTGAGAAAAAAGTCTTATTCTAATTTATATTAAACACAGGTGACGAGGACTTAATACAGAGAGAGAGAGAGAGAGAGAGAGAGAGAGAGAGAGAGAGAGAGAGAGAGAGCCCTTATTATACACTACACCTTGTATTCATCCTAAGAGCTCTCAAGTTACACTTTAATCAAAACACTCCAATTGACTAGTGCTCAAGGGTGGCCCTGCATTTCTAAGGCTTACCCTTGACTAGTACTTGAGGTCGAGCTAGTGTTTCTATAACTCGTCCTTCACTATAGTGCTCAAGGGGGAACTGTATGTGATCACCACCATCACCACCACCATCACCACCACCATTACTACCATCAATATTATCACCACCATCACCACTACCCTCCACACCATCACCACTATCGCCATCACAACCATCACCATCAATACTATCACCATCCATATCACCATCACCACCCCCCCACACCACCTCCATCATTCGTCATCCAACATTCATTAACAGCATCCCACACATTCTTCACGCTCACTCAATGAAAGATTATCACTATTTTTTCAACTCTCTGTACCATCAATAAAACCTGGACCAGGACCACCCATTGTCTCTTTTAGTCATTATCATACACCAGGTACAGGTACAGATAGAGTTACGGGTAAAGACATAGGTATATGTACAGGTAATGATACAGGTAGATATAGGTACAGGTAGAGATACAGGTTACCGGTAAACATACAAGTGCAGGGACAGACAGGTACACATACTACAAGTGTAGGGACAGACAGGTACACATACTACAAGTACAAGTACCAACTGTAGGAGCATCGAGGCTACCGTTATCCATTAACAACTACGCTGGACTGGCCATGTTACCCGCATGGACTACAGTAGACTGCCAAAGCAGCTACTTTACAGTCACCTAACGAATGGTAAACTTAATGCAGGCGGGCAACTGAGAAGGTATAAGAATAGTTTAAAGACAAACCTGAAAAAGTGCTAAATGGACCCCCTCACCTGGGAGACGATCACTCCACACCGTAGCGCTTGGAGGAGCACCACACGAGAAGGTGTCAATGCTTACAAGTTAGCCCGACTACATACCAAGGCAGGCAAGCGCCAGCGCTGGAAAGACATTGCCGCCGCCCCTCCCGCACTAGATGTAGCCCCCCACACGTGCAACATCTGTGGACGACCCTGCCGGTCCCGTATCGGCCCCTCGAGTCACCTCAGATCTCACCAACGAAGGTGACATCCTTAATAATTCGTATATCATAGCTGGATGATCATCATATTCGATTCCGAGTCACAGCAAAGTAGTAGTAGTAGTAGTAGTAGTGTGTGTGTGTGTGTGGCTTGCATCTGTGCTGTATGTCTGAGTATGTCTGTGTGTCACAGTGGCCTTGTCTACGCAAAATTTTATTTGTGTCAGCTTTTTTGAGTGTGTGTGTGTGTGTGTGTGTGTGTGTTTGTCATAATATACGCATATACGTGTGTCTCTGTGTGTATCAGTATATACATACATTTCTCAGTGAGTATTTCTGTGACGTGAGAGAGACAGACAGAGACAGAGAAACGTTCGAAGCCCATAAAATACCACATTAAATTGGAGGTTTTTTCTAGGTCCTGCCTGTGACAGATGAGACCAACTCGCCAGCTTCGTACACCTCAGCCTTCTGCCCGCCGGGGGAAATGGAATTATGATGGACCAAGGGAACGACGGGGGAAATAGAGGTATTGTGAATTATTCTCTGTTTCGTAATATCTAAAGAATACGAAGAAAATTTTTGTTTGTCTTTTTTTCAGAGATCGAGGTTAAGTACAAGTAACTTTATATAACTACAAGAACAAATATATATATATATATATATATATATATATATATATATATATATATATATATATATATATATATATATATATATATATATATATATAATTTTTTTTTCAATAGGCTTACAAGCACAAGTACATACTATATAAGGGTGTTTCTATAGGTCTACAAGCACAAGCGTCGTACTGGTGAATCCCTCAGTGTACACAACTAAGATGTCGCTTATAAAGTTGCAGGAAAAAACACGAGACTTTTTTTTTCTTTCTAATTTATCCTTCTCCCTTTAGCAACAAACTTGATTAAATTTCTTGTGTGTTTGTGTGTGTGTGTGTTTACTTATGTGTGTGTGTGTGTATATATTATGTATAAATATGTAAGTATATATATATATAATTATATGTCCTACCTGTGGCGTAGCGGTCTGTATACTCGTCTCACAAGCGAATTTTCTCTGGTTCGATTTCTAGAGAGGTGAAATTGAGTATTTCTCTTGACTCCATTTATCTCTGCCTACCCTGCAATAATTCAGGACCTCGATTATATGCTGTTGTTTTCCTAGATAACAGTTAGCCAGAGCAGTTCACGAGTTGTCCGATCTTCTTGGGTTATTCCTTGACACTGATTCATACAGCTCTTTCACTTTGGGTATGGAACAAAAAAAAAGAAAAGAAAGCTTGACAAGATTGTGTGATGTTGCCAGTTAATGTTTTTGTTTGTGGTGGAGGGAGGGAGGGAAGGAGGGCGCCAAGAACCACTTACTGCAGGTCTGTGGCGATAGATTCCTTCTGTGGTGGGGAGACGGGAGGGGGGAAGGAGGGAGGAGAGGAAAGGAAAAGTGGTTTGACAGGGAAGGGAGGACAGGGAGAGAACGAGAGGGAAGGGAAAGGAGGGGTAAGGGGAGGAGAATGTAGTAGGGGATGGAGGAGGGGGGGAGGGGTATTTTCAATGTGTGTTTGCCGTGATGGTCATAGTGCCACCTGATGGATTGTTTGAGGCTGTCGTTCTGTCTATCTGTCTGTCTGTCTGTCTGTCTGTCTGTCTGTCTGTGAACATGTCTCTCTCTCTCTCTCTCTCTCTCTCTCAAAGTTTGTGTACGCGCTTATATACGTAATAATAAAAGACACATTAACAGACAGGCAGACAGACAGACAGGCAGGCAGACAGACAGACAGGCAGGCAGACAGACACACAGAGATAACCAGACAGATCGAGACAGACATTAACTATTAATGCTGTTGTTCTCTTGTTTTGTGAGTTGCGCTCGAAATCGCTATTAGTAATTCAAAATAAACCCGCCAGGGACTGTTGTTATGTGGGATGAGAGAGAGAGAGAGAGTGAAGGAGGGGATGGGAAGAAATGGAACAGAGAGGTGGTTAGGAGAGGAAGAGAGAGAACGAGAGAGAGAGAACGGGGAATGACAGAGAGATGAAACGAGAGGGGGGAGAACGAGATGGAAGAGGGAGAAAGGAGAACAACGAGGGAGAATTAAGAAGAGGGAAAGAAAGCAGGAGACAGAAAGAAATAGGTGGGTGAGGGAGAGAGAGAGAGAAAATGGGAGAATTGGGGGAAGAGAGAGAGAAGATGAGAGGGAAAGAGAGAGATGGACAAGGGTTTAGCAGAAAATATGAGAGAGAAGGAGAGGAGAGAGAGACAAATAGAGAGAGGAAGGACAGGGAGACAAATAGAGAGGGAGAGAAAAGTGAGGACGATAGAAAGACAATAAGAGAAAGACGAAGGAGACAGAGAGAAAGAAAATGAGAGAGAAGAGAGAAAGAGATAATTTCATGGAGATATACAATAATAATAGAAAAAGAGAGAGAGAAATACACACAATTTAGACATAAAAATAACGAAAGAGAATCATAGAAAGACGAATGAAGGGGAAAGAGAAGAATGAAAATAAAAACGTAAGAACAAGAAAAAAATAAAAATGGAAGAGAAAAACAAACAGATAAACAGATACGTATTGAACTAGCTCTAATAATTCAATATGTATCTACGTCCTGTACATTACCCGACATGAATCATACAACGGCATCGCTATCAGACAACAGCTTCACCATTAATATACAATATACTATAATTATTATACATAAGGCATGAAACAGAATATCGAATATTTGTATGAAATCTCAATCACCATGCAGGATAACACTATACACAAGCACCAATGGGAAGTCCTCACTTGGTATATACGGTGTTTTTATTGGTTGCTGATGGTCATGTTTGTTTACGTAGAGAAATTTACGCATGAACGCATTGTAGATATACGTGGTTCCGTAAACAATGTTGTCTACCTGTACTGTCTACCTGTACTGTCTACCTGAGAGATGTATGGGGGAATGAGAGATATAAGGACGATTAATTTGAACAAGAATGGAGACGTGTACATGTTGAACGCACAAGTTGAACGCAATTGAACGCTATGAGGTGTGAGTGAATGTCATATAAGGAAAAATGAACGTTAGGAGAGAGAGAAATGAACTCAAGTTATAAGAGTGAATTACATATATAAATATGAACACGAGAAGAGAAAGAAATGAACGCCAAAGTGAACACCATTGAAGACAAGACTGAGTGCCACTGATAATAAATATGAACGTCGGCCAAAAAAATTAACCCCAGATATAAAAAGTGAACGCGAGAGGCCAAAATTAAACCCCAAATATAAAAGTGAACGCCAGAACGCTCACTGTAAAACATAATACAGGAAACACAAGGAGACGAAATACCATCTTTTAAAAGGTTTGTCTTTCTCCCTGGTGGTAGCGGTGGTGATGATGATGATGATGATGATGATGATGATGAAAAAAGGTAGAGAAAAATATATAATGATAAAAAACAGGAAGAATGAGCCAAAGTTAATAAAGAAAAACCGCCAGCAACTCATAAAAGCGAGTTACAGCATCTTTGGCCTTTAATTTTCCTACCATAATGGCTCCTGCAGTTAGCATTATATTGCCACCTAGGTATTTCATTTTTTGCATTCCTTCATATCGTGTTCTCTGACCTCCCAAGACCTGTATATATATATATATTGTGTGTGTGTGTGTGTGTGTGTGTGTGTGTGTGTGTGTGTGTGTGAGAGAGAGACGAAATTATCTCCAGACATTTGGGGTAAGATCTCTCTCTCTCTCTCTCTCTCTCTCTCTCTCTCTCTCTCTCTCTCTCTCTCTCTCTTTCTCTCAACAACACCACATCAACAATACCTCTAAAACTATCTCACAAAATTAAAGATAGAGTGAAACTGAGATAGCTCAATCAAGCCTTTGTTTACCCAGGAGACAAGGTTGACACACACCTCTAAAAATAGTGATGAAACGGCTTATGGTCATATTTGAGTTAGCCAGAAGCACATACGTCCTTTTTGCACCGCCACCGCGTCTCAGGGGGTAAAAATGAAAGGGGCGATGGTGGTTGTTTGGTGACCTCGATTGTGGTGGTGGTGGTGGCGGTGGTGGTGGCGGTGGTGGTGGTGGTTGCTGTTCGGTGACCTTGATCGTGGAAGTAGATGGTCGTTATTTGGTAACTTTGATTGTGGTAATGGTGGTTGTTTGGTTCACCTCGATTGTGGTAGTGGTGGTTGTTTAGTTCACCTCCATTGTGGTAGTAGTGAAGGTGGTTGTTTGGTGACCCTGATTGCGGTAGTGGTGGTGGTTGTTTAATGACTATATAAATAAGCAACCATGGCCTCAGAAACAAACAATCATGTGACCACAGAAGCAAACAACAATGGCCACAGAAGCAAACAGCCATGGCCACAGAAGCAAACAGCCATGGCCGCAGAAATAAACAACCATGGCCACAGAAGCAAACAGCCATGGCCGCAGAAGTAAACAACCATGACCACAGAAGCAAACAACCATGGCCATAGAAGTAAACAACCATGGCCACAGATGCAAACAACCATGGCCACAGATGCAAACAACCATGGTCACAGATGCAAACAACCATGGCCACAGAAGCAAACAACCATGGCCACAGAAGCAAACAACCATAACAGCAAAAGCAAACAACAGTGGCCGCAAAAGTTCCTCGCCACTCTTAACTGTAAACAAGGAAACATTTACTAATACTCCACAAACTAATACAAGAAAATAGACTGAAATATTTGGTTACATCAGAGAGTTAGACATTCAAACACCCGCTAGCTTGAGTTATATTTGAACTAACACTTCCATCGTCTCCTCAGCAAACAGGGTAATATTAAAGACAAATTTGGACTATCTATAACACAACCCCAACAGAGAAACAATTTAAATACTCTTGTCACTCTGCTAAATCTCTCCACACACCATCAGATAAAATATTACGTATGAACGATCTTTAAGGAATCCGTGTGTGTGTGTGTGTGTGTGTGTGTGTGTGTGTGCGTGTGTGTGTGTGTGTGTGTGTGTGTGTGTGTATGTGTGTGTGTGTGTGTGTGTATGTGTGTGTGTTTTAAGGAATCCGTCTATGCTTTGTGTGTTTTTTTTTTTACATTTTCATCCATCCACTGTAAAGGCTTTCATATTTTTTCTTTTGTTTTTATTATTATTTTTTTTTGTAAATCCTTCTCGTTCTTTGTGGCATTAAATAAAAGTGGTTGGTTGGTATTTGTTAATGAGAAATGCCCAGTGTGTAATTAATGCCAGATTTAGGGAAAAAATTCATAAAAGTGGCGGCAGCTTCTCTGTACGTTTGTGGTAGAGGGTAAGTAAATTTCTAAGTGGTTATATCTCTGGCGTATTTTAACTACAACCATCAACTTATTTCGGCTAATTTTCGTCTTAATTTTCTATTTTAAGTTTAATTCTGCCATCTGACACAGTATCATTTCCAAGTACTTTGAGACGAGGAAAATTTTTTCACTATACCTTGAGTCTCTTGGTGATATCGTCAGGTTTGTGGTCACTGAGA